CTCTTACACTTCGTGACATTGAATCTCAGCAGTCCATTTCTTCGACCATTCTTGGAGCCCACAGAGGTCCTTCTGCAGCTCTTCACAGTCCGCTTGGTTCTTTATTTCCCGAAATAACTTGGCGTCATCGGCAAACATTTGTATGGAGGAATGTTTAACGTCAGGCATCTCATTTATGAAACAAACAAACAACAGCGGGCCTAATACAGTAATACACTGCCCTGTGGTACCCCGCTTGTGACAGGTACAGATGATGATTTTGTGCCATTAATCACCACACACTGCTTGCGGTCATGTAGAAAGTCTTCTATCAACACTTGGGCATTTCCCCCGAATTCTGTACCCTTCCAGTTTGATTTTCAGCCTTTCGTCGGGTATACTCACGAAAGCCTTGGAAAAATTTAGGTAAATATTGTCGATATTATCACCCCGTTCCAGAATATGGGTCCAAATATCCAATACCTTGAGCAATTGTGTTAAGCAGGTGCGTCCCGGCATAAAACCGTGTTGGCAATCCCTTTACAAGGTTGTTTCGTAGTAGATGCTCCATCGCAGCATCTCTGATAATACTCTCAAGTATTTTACATATTATGCTGGGTCAGGCTCACCGGTCTATAGTTGTTCGAGGAGTGACGATCGCCCTTCTTGAAGATAAGACTCACATGAGCCACTTTCCATTCACTGGGGACCTTTAGTTCATCCAGGCATTTACAAAACAGGATCTTTAGGGACTCGGCAAGCTCGTTGCTCAACTCTCTTAGCCTTCTAGGATGCACCATGTCAGGGCCGGGACTCTTATGGACCTTTAGCTTTGACAGTTTATTTCTAATACCCTCTTCTGTGAACACAATGTGTTTCAGTGCTGTGTCGAACCGTCTGTCCTCAAACGCAGGAAGGTTAATCGCATCCTCTCTTGTGAACACCGGGGAAAAGAAGCTGTTCAATGCCTCAGCTTTATCCTGGTCAGAATCTGCGTAACTACCATCCACAAGCCTCAGGTCTGATACTCCTACTCGCGTTTTTAATTTCGACTTTGCGTATGCGATAAAACGCCTTTGGGTTTGACTTAACCTCGCTTGCAACCAGCCTCTGGAACTCCTTTTCAGCCCTTCTACATTCTATTGCTTGGTTTCTGGCTTTTGCATACATCCTCCTGTCCTGCTCATCATTTCACCCAACCCATGTCTTGAATTTCTGGGTTTTCTTCTTAATTTTGTCGACCGCCGCATGGTTCATGTGTCCTACAATCCCTTGACACGAACAGTATCATTGAAAATTTTTCCATGAAAAAAGTAAGAAGTTATTTTGAAATTCACACAGTTTGCTGGACTTCATGTGCTTGCAAAATTGATTATGCTTCAAGTTAATTGTATTTCTTTCATTATTCCCATATATAAGATGTACATGATATAGAGTTAATTTGATTAAAAGTAATGATGTGTCACATTGTGTTAAAATTCTTATTTATTTCATTATAATATTATGATATTATGTAATATTTGATGACATTTGGCCATTGCAAAAGAATTACAGTAAAAAAAAAAATATATATATATATACATATACATATATATATATATATATATATATATATATATATATATATATATATATATATATATATATATATATATATATATATATATATATATATATATTATTGAAACATGCAAGCATTTCTATAAATTTGGGGGCCCACTGATGAGTTTGGCCTGGGGCCCACAAGTAGGTAAATCCGGCCCTGACCACAGGGCAGAGTATTCGGCCCGCTGCTGTTTGTTTTTTGTTTGTTTGTTTCATAAATGACATGCCTGACGTTGTACACTCCTCCATACAAATGTTTGCCGATGACGCCAAGTTATTTCGGGAAATTAAGAACCAAGCGGACTGTGAAGAGCTGCAGAAGGACCTCTGTGAGCTCCAGGAATGGTCGAAGAAATGGACTGCTGAGATTCAATGTCACGAAGTATAAGGGGATGCACCTGGGGCGTACCAACGGTAAGGAGGCGTATCATATGTCCCAACGAGATGAAGAAACTGCACTAGTTGAGACTGAATGTGAGAAGGACCTAGATGTGTATGTTGACAATGAGCTGAAGTTCTCGGGCCATTGCGAGAAGAAGGTAAACCAGGCAAATAAATTATTGGGTCTTATAAGAAGGTCGTTGAGATATCTAGACGGTCCGTCTCTCGTAGCGATCTTCAAGAGTGAAGTGCTTCCCCATCTGGAGTACTGTCACCCTGTCTGGTCCCCGAGATATGCTAGGGACTGTCAGTTGGTTAAAAATGTTGAAAGGAGGGCCACCAGATTGGTGCCTGCACTTCGGCACTTCAGCTAGCCTGAGAGATTGGAGCGCCTGAACTTGCCTAGCTTATATTACAGATGGGCAAGGGGTGACCTAGTTGAGGTATATAAGCATCTCAGGGGGCACTACTCAGTCGAGTGTCCTTATTTGGAGCTGGCGGACGCTCGCCCCACAAGGGGTCACAGCTCAGGATTGAAGAAGCCGCAAGTCCAGAAAACTGTGAGGGCAAACTTTTTCTGAGTGAGTGTTGTAAACTCTTGGAACAATCTACCAGAAAGTGTTGTGACGGCACCGAGTGTGAGCTCTTTCAAGACAAGACTTGACCAACACTGGAGCGGGTTCAGGTACATTCAGGAGCCGGTGCATGCCCAGTACTTGCCAACAGTGCGTGACAGAGACGTGACCGATCACCCGGGCGGCTGGCGAGCCGATCTTTTGGTGAAGAGGATAAATGAAAAGGAAAAGTAATCAGAGACGTGATCGATCTCCCAAGCGGCTAACGAGCCGATCAGTGATGAAGAGGATAAAAGTGAAAGTAAAAGTAAAAGAAAAGGAAAAGTAATCAGAGACGTGACCGATCGCCCAAGCGGCAAACGAACCGATCAGAATAAAGCTGAGGCATTGAACAACTTCTTTTCCTCAGTGTTCACAAGAGAGGATGCAACTAACCTTCCTGCGTTTGAGGACAGACGGTTCGACACAGCACTGACCCACATTGTGTTCACAGAAGAGGGTATTAGAAATAAACTGTCCAGGCTAAAGGTCCATAAGAGTCCCGGACCTGACATGGTGCATCCTAGAGTGCTAAGAGAGCTGTGCAACGAGCTTGCAGAGCCCCTGAAGATCCTGTTTTGTAAATGCCTGGATGAACAAATGGTCCCCAGTGAATGGAAAGTGGCTTATGTGAGTCCTATCTTCAAGAAGGGCGATAGTCACTCCACGAACAACTATAGACCGGTGAGCCTGACCAGCATAATATGCATAGTACTTGAGAGTATTATCAGAGATGCCGCGATGGAACATCTACTACGAAACAACCTTGCAAAAGATTGCCAACACGGTTTTATGCCGGGGCGCTCTTGCTAAACACAATTGCTCAAGGTATTGGTTATTTGGACCCATATTCTGGAACGGGGTGGTAATATCGACAATATTTACTTAGATTTTGCCAAGGCTTTCGACAGTGTACCCCACGAAAGGCTGAAAATCAAACTGAAAGGGTACGGAATTCGGGGAAATGTCCTAGCGTGGATAGAAGACTTTCTACATGACCGCAAGCAGTGTGTGGTGATTAATGGCACGAAATCGTCATCTGTACCTGTAACAAGTGGAGTACCACAGCGCAGTGAATTGGGCCCACTGTTGCTTGTTTGTTTCATAAATGACATGCCGGACGTTGTACACTCCTCCATACAAATGTTTGCCGATGATGGCAAGTTATTTCGGGAAATTAAGAACCAAACGGACTGTGAAGAGCTGCAGAAGGACCTCTGTGGGCTCCAGGAATGGTCGAAGAAATGGCTGCTGAGATTCAATGTCACGAAGTGTAAGAGGATGCACTTGGGGCGTACCAACGGTAAGGAGGCGTATCATATGTCCCAACGGGATGAAGAAACTGCACTAGTTGAGACTGTGTGTGAGAAGGACCTAGGTGTGTATGTTGACAATGAGCTGAAGTTCTCGGGCCATTGTGAGAAGAAGGTAAATCAGGCAAATAAATTATTGGGTCTTATAAGAAGGTCGTTCAGATATCTAGACGGTCCGTCCCTCGTAACGATCTTCAGGAGTGAAGTGCTTCCCCATCTGGAGTACTGTCACCCCATCTGGTCCCCGAGATATGCTAGGGACTGTCAGTTGGTTGAAAATGTTCAAAGGAAGGCCACCAGACTGGTGCCTGCACTTCGGCACCTCAGCTACCCTGAGAGATTGGAGCGCCTGAACTTGCCTAGCTTATACTACAGACGGGCAAGAGGGGACCTAGTTGAGGTGTATAAGCATCTCAGGTGGCACTACTCAGTTGAGTGTCCTTACTTGGAGCTGGCGGACGCTCGCCCCACAAGGGGTCACAGCTCAAGATTGAAGAAGCCGCAAGTCCAGAAAACCGTGAGGGCAAACTTTTTTGGAGTGAGGGTTGTAAACTCTTGGAACAATCTGCCAGAGAGTGTTGTGACGGCACCGAGTGTGAGCTCTTTCAAGACAAGACTTGACCAACACTGGAGCGGGTTCAGGTACATTCAGGAGCCGGTGCATGCCCAGTGCTTGCCAACAGTGCGTGACAGAGACGTGACCGATCGCCCGGGCGGCTAGCGAGCCGATCTTTTGGTGAAGAATATAAATGAAAAGAGACGTGACCGATCGCCCAAGCGGCTACCGAGCCGATCAGTGGTGAAGAGGATAAAAGTAAAAAAAAGTAAAGGAAAAAAGTTAAAAAGAAAAGAGGATAAAACCATGCACAATCATCAAATCACTACACATTGGCATCGTAGATTCGAAGCGGTGACTCATGAAAGGCATTGACGCTCGAGAGAGGAGTATCTCCCCAATCCAGGTAAGTCTTATGCGGTTATTGTGTATATAGATTAGAATAGTCACTGCTAATGTAAAAATCATAAAGTATTAACAAAATCAAGTTTCACTACGTTGAAATATGACTTGAGGTTTTTGTGTTTTATAGGTAAAGGGTTCGGGGTTCAGTAGAGGATTTCGAGTCTCGGAAGCGACTTGTTTACATGGAGGCTGAGAGGGTGTGTGACAGTGACAGCCTCTGACGGTCACACCTGGTACAATTGGCATCGAGTGTTGACAGGAACTGGCACGTGAAATTTGCGTGTGAATCCCATAGATAATTATATACTTATTTGTATTTTCACTCCAGTTTTCAAGGTAAGCAGGCCCTGTGCTTTTTATTCCCCGATCATATGAATACCGTCAGTGGCACATAGCTAAGCTAGCAATAATTTGTAACTCCTCGGAGTACAGTGTAACAATATATAGTACTGTATATGGTAAACGTGAGGTTAAGAAGTGCCTTTTTATCACTAGTGCTTTGAGACGATTTCCCTTATAAATTCAAAGTAAAATTTGAGTTCATTTTATGTCAGCCACAAAGAGAGCAGGGACTGAAAAAGTGGGAAATATGGGGTTAAAACTTACAGAAGAAGATAGGTTAAAAAGAAAGGGGGCTAATATGGAGGACTTTGGTAATTATTTGTGATTTCACAGCCGTTGAATTTTCTTAGAAAGCGAATTTAAAAATGCTGCAATTTCAATGTTTTTTATAGTGGACACTGTCGTAGTTATGTAAAATGTGTTAAAGAGTGGTTATTTCTAAAGTATACACCCCATTTCGTCACCAACCTGGTTGGTCACCAAAGAACTCATTTCATCACCAATATCAAATCCGTTTCGTCACCACGAACAGACTAAAAGTGTAGTTGCTGGTATTAGAGTGACAAATTATAAGTTGTTATTTTACACTAATAGAAATTACACATGTATACAGACGACTCGAGAATAATTGGGTAAATTTATAGTAGTTCACACAACTCTGTTAGAAAGTCAAAACTATGTTTTTTTTTCTAGTGTATTTTAATTGGTTCTGGCCTTGATTTCCGTCAGAAATTGCTGTTTTTTTTTTGTTTTTTGTTTTTTTTAAAGTTATCGCCCCCTTTTACTCCCAACAAGATAGGGGATCCTGTTGGGAACCGGGGTTTTGGGTGGGGCGTTTTCAGACAAAAATCATGGCCAAGTGAAAACAAGATACACCAAAAAACACTAGAAAAACATATAAACCTAACCTTTTTTGGATAATCTAACCTAACCTAACTCTCATGTTGATTTTACAAAACCAAACTCTCACCAAATGAGGGAATCACTGTTATTTCTTACCTTATTGGCCTGGTTCCAGTTTGCCGTCAGATTCTAAAAATGTTCCTTTGTAATCAGTGACGGTGTATGAACACCAACGTCTCTTCTTTGTCTTGGGAATAAGGAACGAGTTCCTACAATGCCAACTGTGTTGGTCTTGACGTTATTTACAATCCTTATTACACTTAGGACATTTTATTAAGGTCAGGAGAACACCATTAGATCTAAAATATACTGTAGCTTGTTCGTTTTTTTTCCCCAAAACGAGCAATTAACTCCATGTAATTGAAGTGACACCCATCACAGACTTCCATGGTTGGAAATTAATTTGAATTTCGAAATATGAGAGACCCAAGATCACAATCGAATCTAATTGAGCAAAGAATACCTCGAATTTTAAAAGCAGAAACCACAATTCATTTTAATTGGTGGAAAAAACCGCTATTGATTGGCCGCGTGAAGTGTACGGGAACGCATGCGCATGACGATTTATGAAGGGAACACGCTGAGTGGGAGGTCGGGTCGGCGATAATGGCTGAAGATTAATGTTATTAAATAGAGAAAGATTTGGCAAACGCTATCTCCGTTATTATATGTTTCCGACGGTAATGTAATAGATGAAAGTTATCTTAAAATTAGACGTATTTTCCGAATATGATAATAGATTTGGAGTAGGAATGTTGAGTGAACCACTATAATAATACCAATTATTTTGTTTTTATAAATGAATATTAATTATTTAACCCTTAAGCCCCGGGTTAGGGTGCTGGTGACAGTACCCCCCCTTGCGGGAGTAAATCGAGAAAAATCAACTTTAACAAAAATAATTTTTAACCTTTTAAAATGAAAAAATAAAAATAAATAAGAAAAAGTATATATTGACCCTCTAGAAACTTCCCTGGCAGTGTGGAGGGAGGGAGGGAGGAGGAGGGGGGTGATAGAAAGACAGTGTTGGTTTGACGCTCGTGATCCCTCCGCACTTAGCAGCTATTTTTAGCTTGCCTTTGTGTGCGGGGTGGCCAATAATGTACAGTATATTTTTACTGATCTTAATAATTATTTGCTATAAATAATTCATTTAGAATATTTTATTGGCATTATTTTTCATAAAAAGTGCTTGGCAACACTCACCAGTCGGTTGCCAGTCTACCTGGCTGTTTTTGTGTTTGGTAGAGCAAGTAATTCATAAAATAATAATAATTCCACAAATAAATACATTTATAACAATCATAGCATTGTTTTACAGTAATACAGGTACTACACTACAATACAACTACACTACGTTTAGCAATATTACTTTGATACAACATGATAAAATAGACAAACAATGAAAATTAAACCAACAAAAGTAGGTACAGTAATTATGTTCAGGAAGCTTCCCTGTGGCCAAGCGTGTGGTGTGAGAGGCAAATAGTCACACTGGAACCTGATAAACCACGCTGGGCATTTAAACAGTGGCGGGATTAGGCGCGCCTTCTGGAACGTCACCCGGGGCCTAAGGGTTAATAAAGAAAATTTTTAAAACATCGGTAAATAAACAAAATTCAGAACAAATGAAGGTGATTTCTTCGTCTTCTTCATTGATTTGCAATTACAACTAGTTGCTGAGCACAAGCTAAAATCATGCACAAGAAAAGCAAATCATGACAAACAAGCCCATCTCTGGAAGCTGTGGGATGAATATGAAGAAAAAAATATCACCATTTCTAATTTCCTAAAAATTGTCAGTGTCGTCTTCCAAGCTTGCATGAGTAATAACAATGTTTTTATTTTAATTTTTTTTAATTTTAGTCATTCACATATTGTGTAAGTGAGATAATTGCAGTGGTATTAACAATGTTTTTTTTGTTTTTGTTTTAGTCTTTAATAAATTGTTTAAATGAAATGCTTGCATGAGTAATAACGTTTTTATTTTCGTCTTTAATTGTCTTAGTGAGATGCTTGCATGATCCAATGTATTGTTATTCCGAGGCATAATTTCATAATACAATTTTGTTATCTAGGTGTTTTGATTATTTTCTACCCCAAGCAACAGTTATTTTGGCAAATTTGGTGAAATTTTCGTGTATATATTTTTGTATTAATTATGTAAGAATTTTCTGGAATGTATTGCCCTTGAAAAGGTGATGGGAATGAACGTGGTGACGAAACGGGTAAAAACAGTGGTGATGAAATGGGTAAAAAATGTGGTGACGAAATGGGTAAAAAATGCGGTTATGAAATGGGTAAAAAATGTGGTGATGAAATGGGTAAAAAATGTGGTGACGAAATGGGTAATAAATGCGGTTATGAAATGGGTAAAAAATGTGGTGATGAAATGAGTAAAAAATGTGGTGACGAAATGGGTACACCCCTTTCTAAATTAAACTGAATCTAACTTCAGTTGATAAGAAAAACATGTGGAAGAAATGTGAGAAGACCTCACCAACCTAACCAAACAAACCTACCTAACCTTACCTAACTTTCTAGTCATGGGGCTCAACCCTTTGGTCCCCCAGCATATTAATAAAAAAAAACTTACTAATATATGGTGTAATTTGATGCATTTGTGGACGTGAGAGCAGCAACCCGATCTGTGTAACTTATAAACATACACTGGTGACTGGCATCGATCGGAAACGATTGGCTGTTTACTGCTGCATAAATATCTACCAAACGAAGCAATTTTCATAAAAATTATTATTATATCACAACTCGCTCATGAAAATATAGTAAGAATATAAACATCAAAACAAATAACTCGTTGGCTGTGAAGTCCTGGCTAATATGGAGGACTTCGCAGCTGCTTCCCCGCATCTTAGTAACAGTAATTCACCCATGGCAAGTGTTAGGTTAGGTTATGTTATGTTATGTTATGTTCGGTTAGGTTAACTGAACTTGAACTTTTATTTAAACACTTTTTAACTCATTTGCCATAATTATGATAGTGTCCATTATAAAACAGTGAACCTGCGGCATTTTATAATTTGTTTTCTATTAAAAATCAGCAGCTGTGAAGTCGTAAATAATTGCTAAGGTGCGCACTACTTTGTCTTCTCAGCGGTAATGTGGTGGTTTATGTTAAGATTAGGCTAAGTTTGGTTAAATTTGGGATGGGTTGTGTTAAAAAAAAATATTTGCACAAACTATAACAGTCTCCTCTATAAAACACAGTCAAAATGCGGCATTTTTATGCAGGTAATAGTTTACTATGCTAAATAGCCGGCAGGTCAGTCATCAATAATTACCGTTGAATTTCATTAGTTATTTCCACAGATGTTATTTGGATGATAGTTAGCAATAAAAACGATGTAACAATGCACAGAACCTAATAAAACTTGGGCCAAGTTTAATAATCGTTTAATGACTGTAGCTCCTTTTTGTTATGAGAATAGTTTTTGTGTCTGTATTCTCATAACAATTTCAACTTCCAAATCACTGTTGAAACCTCACATAACATAACCTAACCTAACCTAACCAAACCAAACCAAAATAATCCTAAAATAACCAAATACAAAAATCTAGCTGCAGCCATTAAACGAATATTAACCAGAACCTCACCTATCCAACCAAAGAAACCTATCTGACCTTACCTAGCTTCCTAGCCTTATTAAATAAAAAGTACAGTACAGTACTGTACTTATTTTAATATCTAGTACCAATGAAGGTATTATTTTAGTTTCGGTCATCCGGGAAATCTTATGGGGGTCTGCGGGCTGAAGCCCCCCAGTTAGGTTAGATATACTTCCTGGTTTCTGTGGCTAGGCTAGGTTAGGTTAGGTTAGATTAGTTTGGATATTTACAGGAATGGCCGAAACTAAAATTTTACCCCAATGAAAGCAACTTTGTTGTGTTGTCATGGTGTAATTTTACGTTTTTGTGTGGATACGAGCTTTCATGTGTCTACCACATTGGCTTCTTGTTCAAATTTTTAGAAAACTCTTTTTGTTACAAGATTAAAAATATATGTGGATACAGGTATGGTAGCCATACACCAAAAATCACACCGGATATAGGTACAGCAGCCATGTTGATGG